CCTATTCTCCTCACACTGACTTCAAGAATGAATGTCCTCTTTGCATATAGCCATTTTTTCTCAGAGTATATTGACTAGTAACATGTATTTCAAGCATTAGAGGATTAAAGAACAGGTTAAAGTGAAGACTATTCACCATCAAAATGGAATTTAGATACATATATATATTTCTGTTTAAAATAAATGTCATTGAAATAAACAGACTGCACAGATATGCACCAGTTCCAGTTGCCACACTCCATCCCGTAAACCATACAAAGCAAGAGAAGAGAGTAAAGACAGATTCAAGCGCGCAGTGAGAGATAATAAAGAGAAGTGTAAGTGGAGGAAAAAGAATAGTGATGTGATAGAACAATAGAGTTTTATTGCGTATGATAAATCACAAAGAGTGAATGCATCTACGCCAGCTGACTTTAACTAACTTTTGTGGATTTCACTGACTTATGAAGCTGTGTTTTGGTTCGACCACCACCACCACCACCACTAGCTCTTTCCCAGCCTAATCAGTCCTATGTTAGTGGCTAACATTGCCCGTCGGTCGAGTAAAGAAGGCGATGGCTAGGCATGCATGCGTAATATATGTCATAACTAACCATCTCAATCAGTGTAACCGCTTCACAACCTAGTCGATTAATTTCCCTTCCCCCTTCCTCACCTAGCACTCTACCGATGCTTAACCTCAATATTTCTCACCTTATGATATCACTTATTACATCAAACCAGAGATAGAACGCAGACACCTGCGATCAAACACAGCTAGCTAGCCAGCCTGGCTCCTCATGCCTTCCACTGTGTGAATGGCCATATCTCACAGCCAGTCAGCGACAAGGGAGGAGACAGCGGACTGCTGAGCAGTACACACGCCCCTTGGTCGACAATCAGCTAGCCAGCCAGATATCATATCTACTAAGCCAAAGAGGGATGTCAGTTGACTGACAAATGTCAAACTAGCCTTCTGTATCCATGATGACAATTAAGCCTGAAGATTACCATTAAATATTTTAAAAGATTGATTAGGGAGGCAGAAATATTCTTTTCGATAAGAGGTGAGTAATAAACACATTACAATTCAAAGCAGTTTATTCAGCTATCAAAATTCATGTGTTAATTGCAGTTCCAAGGTGAAACTGCCACATTTAGACGTCCTACTGACAAAAGGACCAGACTGTATTTGTAAAAGGATTTCACATGAGAAAATCACTTTCACCGGCCATTAGAGAGATTTTCACAGCTTCATTCCACTTCAGTATAAAAGAAATTTGGTAAAAACCCTCAGACATAGGGTCAGAGTTATTTTTATTCAGGAGTTTTCATGAAAGATAAACTCAAGTTTTAATAAGACACGTTAAATGAAAATAGTGTGCGTCGATCGCATAGCGGTAGAATGCTCGCCGACCACGCATGTGGTTCGGTGTTCGATCCCCAGCCACCAACGCACTCCCTTGCCTCGCTAAGCCAGTAATAAGACCGGTAAGTGTGAAGGTTGGGCATGAGGCTAGCAACCCTACCTTGTAAAAATAAACATCAAGGCTACCGAAACTTCAAGTCTCTAGCTTGAAAGCACCCTGTTTTCCACTAGGGACGTAAAGGAATAAAGGAAATTGAAAACAGTTACCCAAGGAAAGTTTATCATTAAACTAAAGGTCAAGAGGGTAGAAATGAATTCTTTGCTGTCTGTTAACAAGAAGCCTCCATATCTATACATACGACCACAATTAAAAGATGATATACCAAGTGAAATAATTGTAACCAACAAGTTGAGAAAATCGATTCAAAAGATTTTAAAATTCCGGTAAGCTCCAGATTTTATTTTCTACGCAGCCGGGAGTCATTAGGAAATTTGAAAGACAAAGTATGTAGGATAGCCACCTCTGATAGTATCTATCAATTTGCCTGTCTCTCTGCAGCCAGTTATGTTAACTGTTGCTCTACAAACATAATTTTCCGTGCTAGGGAACACCTACCAGTATTGGGTCTAAATAAAGCTGTTGTCAAAGCGGTCAATAATTATACTGTATTGAATCACTCCGTTCAAACAGACTAGAACTGAAGAACTCTTCTATATTATTAATTGGGTAGCGTATAAATTAATAAAGGCCTCTAGTTAGCAAACACTGCAAATAGAACAGGCTATTGTGATAGACTTAAATCACCCTGTGATGAGGGTGTGCAAAAGAAACAGGTTCACCTACTAGCAACCGCACCCCTTAAAATGTGAAGCATTACTGTTGCTACTGAAACTTCAAGGATGAAGCTTGAAGTCCAATGTTCCACTCGGTATGTAAGGAAACTGAAAAAATGTAGAATGGAAGTGGAAGTGAAAACCAGAAAAATAAATAATTTTTGTAAAAATACTGAGGTGGACAGTTCAGACTTTACAGAGGACAAATTTATCCAAAGTATACGCTCATATTCTGTGACTGTAAAATTATAGACATGCGTCGGTGGCATAGCGGTTAGGACGCTCGCTGACCTTACACATGGTCCGGGGTTCGATCCCCAGCCGACGCACTCCTTTACCTCGCTAAGCCAGTAATAATACTGGTAAAGAGAAAAGGTTGGGCATGAGGCTAGCAACTCCATCCTGTAGAATAAACACTGCTACAGAAACTCCAAGCCACTAGTTTTAAGCCCTATGTTCCACTGGGGAACGTGAAGGAAAAAAATTATAGACACCTGATACTTCCATATTAGTTCGTTTATGAGATATTACACACATGGTGGAACAGTGTTATTGATTACTGACTGACAAAGTTTCAAACACAACTGAATTATTTATTGTTCAAGACCATATTATAAATTATAATCACAAAACTTCGAAACTTGAGTTTTATAGTTTTCTCTATTCTTTCCTATTCGTCGTCGTATGGGTAGCAGAATTTCCCGGATATCTGGGTGGAAAGATGTTCCGTCATTCCTATTACACATATTCCCTCTCAGCTGATTCGGTAAATAAAGCCTCAACCAGTTATCAATCTCTGTCCCTCATCCAAACCCTGTTACATTAGATTTAAGAACTGTCACCTTATGCCATCATTTTGCATTGTGTGGTCATGTGTAATTGCATGTAGTGAGTGGTATAGCTCAGCTATTCTCCAGATTTGTTATCTTATTAGGGCATTATTTCACCTGACACAAAGCCATAACTTGTTTGTTTGATTGGTTCCACATGCAGGCTCCACTAATCAACAAAGCCGGTTTCTAATTCATTTTGTCGGTGGTTTTTATGCCGGACACTTTTATTCCTACCTGTATTGTTAAGAATTCTCCACCGTAAGGCTTCCGAGGTTACTTCTTTGTATGGAAGTACTAATTTTGATTTACATCCCCCATTTGTTGGTGTTGTCATCATTCTGTGCATGCATGCCTGACATGAATGTCGTCATTAATATCATCATTATTATCGCCATCACTATCACAACCGTTATTATTAATAATTTTATTTTTACATATTCCTACATACTTCCTGGCTCATTTATCGGAGTTGTTATTAATTAAGTTGCAAAGCTTCTCTTATATGCCTCACCTTCTGTCTTATATTTTCGTTGGTACAATTTAGTTTTTGTGCCCTATTGCTTAAACATTCCATCAGTTCTATTTTTACTGACATAGGGTGGGATGATCTGAAATCCAAGTATCTGTTTAAATGTGGGGGTTTCCTGTAAACACTAATGTTTAACTTCCCGCCATGTTCCATTTTCACTCTATAATCTAGCATTGGAAGCTCCCTTTCTTGACTTTCCAGTTCATAAGCGAATTAAAATACCTCTATCTTCGAGTTGATGTTTTCGAAGAATCTATTTATATCCTGTGTTTTAAGCATGATGTCACCTTCATACCCCCACCATACATTTGCAATGGCTCTGAAGATTTTTAGTCGCCAAGTTTTCCCCCTATCTATGAATATATCTGCTTCTGTTAGGGATATTCGTGACCTCATGGCAACGCCTTCAGTTTGTTTGTATAATTTCCCTTGGAATTCAAAATACTGTATAAGTCAAGCATTGCCACCCTCCTTGGATTATGTGTTCTAGTGGTACTTTTATCTAACGAATTGGAAAGAATAAAGAAAATTGTACAACGAAAGTTGCGAAGTTCTGTGGTTATAATTGACGATATGATTATGAACAATGAAGAAATAAATTGTGTTCTAAACTTTGTCATCCAGTAAATAGTAATACTGTTTCCCTCTGTGTGTGTGTGATATATCTTAATTTATGTGGCATTGCACACTACCACAACCGATAGGTTTTGAAAATTAGCTGCCGACAACATTTTTGAGAAAATAAGATATTCATTAAATTCATTAATTATTTGGAGTCTCCTGCCAACTAAGATCATACCATATTTACAAGCGCGTTAAAATAAACTTTTCGGCGGTGTGCAGCTGATGAGAAGCTGACAAAATTTAACCATACTACACAAAACTTTGTTTTCGCTAACGATATAAAGTCGAATTATGGAGGTAGTTTCAAAAATAAACTTTTGCCTGTCTGTCGCAACTGCGGTTAAATATTTCCAGCGACAATAATTAATGTTTAATTGCCTGGAGTATGATATGTCCACAGTGTCGGTTACAGCCCTGTATATTATACAATCAGACAGCTTTGAAATCAGACACATACTATCAATGGAAAAACACGTAGCATAATTGAATTTTATCTAATATAGAAAGCAGACGTCGGTGGCATAGCGGTTAGGACGCTCGCTGACCGTGCACATGGACCGGCGTTCGATGCCCGGCCACCGACGCACTCCTTTACCTCGCTATGCCAGAAATAATGCTGGTGAAGAGGAAAGGTTGGGCATGAGGCTAGCAACCCTATCCTGTAAAAACAAACACTGCTAGCGGAACTTCAAGCCACAAGCTTAGAGCCCTTATGTTACACTGGGGAACGTGAAGGAAAAAAAATGTGTGCACGTGTGACTTCTAGTAAAACTTTATTTTCCCTAATTGAAAGTTTCTAAAATACACATATACACATATTTGTTCAACTTACTCTGAGCAACAGTGCATTGCACATTGATCACTGATATGCACAGGTGAATAACAATCGTTTGCAGAAGCAGATGAAGTGAGTAGACGTTGCGTTCATTTGTATACTTTTGTACAGCAAGCCAAGTATTTTTTGAGAACATGATGGTGTTGACGATGAAGAGATTTTAGCTTTGGTTTCTAATTAATTATTAAATTCAATTATTTTTGTCTGAATTATTTCACAGATTCATTTGATCATATTTGAGCAATTCTGTATTTGTAGTGTGTGCAATTCAGTATACAGAATGTGTGCAACGCTGTTGAAGACTATGGAAGGCGTTCATTGTTGCTGTTGTCGTTGTTGTTGCTGTTGTTTTCGTTGTATAGTTGTATATCATCTGAAATCCACAAAATGCATAAATCACATTATATTAAATAAACACATGAGCTCTGGAATGCATTGATGAATTTTATGCACATATATATATCCATAAGAAAAAAATTCATAAATTGACAATCGACTTGACTCAGGAAGCACAAGAAAATGAAATGTGAACGTCTTTCATTATTTGTTAAGAAAAATATTATTTTGGAATGAGTAAATTAGTTGCTGTTATCATAATTAGTTAAAACTAGTTGAATGAATGTGTTCATAAACAGGAGGAGTTAAATTCCCGCGTCACTATTCTAAACCTTAATTATGATTGGTCAGTTAATTTGCCTCGATTTTTGATTGGTTAATAATTATTGTCTATTTTGGTCATATTATCTACTATTACATAAGCGATTATTACTGATAAATATGCAGAAGTATGTATATACATTTGCATATATAAATATACATATAAGACTATTTATTACGAATATCTCTGTACACAATTCTGAACGCATCAGTCGATATTTGTGATGCACCAAGTGAAATCATTATTAACAGGTTGAGAAAATCTGTCCAAAGAACTTTCAATGCTGGCAAACTACACGTTCAATTTTCACACAACCAGTGATGATTCCTCAGCTGAAAGTTGAATTACCTGGCCTAGCCACCTTTTTAATTGTATCTACCACTTCAACTCCACTTGCGGTGGAGCGCGTTGTATTGACCGTTTCTGTAGGAACTTGACTTTTCGTGTTCGCTTGGGAACACCTCTCATTGTTATACCTAAATAAAGGTGTAGTTAGAAGCATCAATAGCCGGATATTAGACCACCTGATCCAAAACCGACGGCAAAGCTACTACTGAAGAATCCTTCCCCATCATCATCCGTCCAATACCATCCATGTACCACATACTCCAAATAGCAGTGGCTATCACGATTCACCCAAAACAACCGGTGCTCTGTGTGCAGAAGAAACAAGCCTAACCATCCAGTGGTACTGCCCTGGCCTTCAACAATTCAGCATTATTATTATTTCGGAAGAGAATAAAAGACAATTCATTGAAGATAATGATTCTTAATTGACGAAATCATCTGGCTGTACACTCGTATTTATATTGACCGAAAGTGTATAGAAGTCTGTTATTGAGTAATAGGGGGTGGCATAACTGAAATAATTACTTAGAAGTGGCTTCAGAAGTAAAAAGTTAAATTCGTAAATTACGAAGTACTCAAAGGCACAAAAGAAGAAATGGTTAGAAATTTGATAAGGTTAAAATTGTTATTAAGTGAGAATAAAGGTGGTAGTTGAGTGTCAATTTAACAAGTGTGAAGAGAGTGTGAAAATGTACAAAAGGAAAATATGAGAATGATAATAATAGTGAATCAATTATTAAAGCAAAATTGAAAATAAAAAAAGTTAGAATTTTTTTACAGGGAACGACTGGTGAAGAAGCTACGACCAAGGTAGAATAAGAGACTGGACAAACCTTTTCTGTATACAGAGTTCAAGGTTATGCTGACTAATTGCCAGAGCCTCCGCGATACACAAATGACGAGACTGAATGCCCTTTGTATCATTTGGCCACACCTTGTAGTTAGTTAATCTTGAAAGACGACTGTGGTGGAGCCAACCTTTCTGATATTCATTCGGTGTGTATCGTTACGTTGATGCTGTTGAACTTTAATCCACTGATATTATTGATTCGATGTTATTTAAACAACAACATTAATGTTGTGAATAACCCTAATTCTTTTATTATTATAGATAAATTCATAAACGTCGAAGCTGATGAAGCGCAGGTCATCAAAAATGTGAATATTCTTCGTTCAGTAATCCGTCTTTTACGATTTCTAAGGGACATTTTCGATCAATTAAAAATATTGTCTATTTTGGTTTTTATTAGCTTCTATTACGTATATTAGCGATGATAACTGATAAGTAAGCGTAAGTAGATATACATACATTTTCACATATAAATATACGTATAAGACCATTTCTCAATGCATCAGCAAACATTCGTTATCTGTCTGTTATCTATGTCTTTTCCTGCATTTCTGAATATGGACAAAATGTACTTAAGGTATATGTGCTATTTTTGGGGTTATCTTAAGGCATATTAAAGACATAGTTTATTGATTCCTATTTGAAAACTATAGTCTCTGGATGTCATTATCAACATTATCATAATCATCATCGTCATGACGTGTGGAGGTGATGGCGTAACTGATCCATTGGTAAAGGAAGGCGAAGACAGATAGATAGATCTATGGTGGGATTCGCACTGGAATATCTTTCTGACTAGTCGTCTACGAACTTCACATATCATAACCCATTTGAAACATTGGTAAGAAGAATAAGTGCCTTAATTTTTGCTCAGAAATGAAACCTCAGTGGCGGCTATTCTATTAAATGAAAAAAATTATTATTATTACTTTCTTCTCTGAGTTTCAGAGGGGAATATAAGCCATCAACAGAACATCATCATTTCATTCGGTTTTCTTCTTCTGCACTTCCCGAAAGCCTTTTCATCCTCATTACTCAATTTTATCTATGTTGCTTTTCAAAGAACCACACCCAGCTCATCGTTTCGAGTGATGACCTGGAGTACAGTGTCACTCTGCACTCCCCTCAGTGTGTGCACGAAATATTTTGTCCTAAAACAGGTTCTTGATTGGCTATTTTCCACCGCTTTTCAGCCTTTATCCTTCCTCAGCGATCTGATATTGAGTTTGGAGCCAGCAGAGCGGACAGCTCTCGATAAAATAATTTCTGAACGAGCTTGTTCAAAACGCTTTCGATGACAGGCACAAAAGTTTTTTTATTATAGCTTGATTCCACACATTAGTTTGGTATAAGTATGGAATTTTCAGCATGTGATATCGGTAGCCCAAATTTAGCAGGCCACCCATAGATATCAGGTGTGCGTCAGCGGGGGATCAAACCTCAGACCATGTTCATGGTCAGCGACAGTCCTAACCACTGTGTCTTTGAACCTAAGAGAAGAAATACTTACATTAGTGTCTAAATTCGAATCTTCATGTTCTTCATGTTTTCTACAAAAGATTTCCAGATTGATTTCAGATAAAGGAGGAGGAATCCTCCCCTTCTGATCCCATCTGTTTCTTCATACACTACAAAATGTGCGTCGGTGGTACAGTGGTTAAGACTCTTGCCGACCATGCACATGGTCCGAGGTTCGATCCCCTGTCGGCGCACACCCGATATCTATGGTCGGCCTGAATTTGGGCTACCGATATCCATGCTGAAAATTCCATACTTGTACTGAAAATACGGTGTGGAATCAAGCTGTAAATCTAAAAAAAACGATATAGCGATCTCACTTAGGTCAAGTCTTCGTCTGAAACGACGGGAAGGTTGGAACAGGACTTTACTCAGAGAAGTACTGAACGACTGTTGTCACTACGGCTGTTCGGTAAGTGTGAAACTGTTTCAGACAATTATAACTCATCAATGGAAAACCCACCAACAGAGTTTTTTGTCATAATATCAAGTCAACCGTTTAAATGTGCCAATTTCGTCATCATTAGGTTGAAGGTGTTCTATAACCCTTTCGCATGAAGGCAACAATATGTTACACTGTACTTTATCATTACTATAATTAATGATATTATTATTTTCAAGAAATAAAGAAAGAAATAATGTATTTTGCCGGATAACACGAGTCGATGTTTTTCGATAGATTCTTGTCAACTGAATACAATTTCTGTCAAGTTGAAATCCACCTACCTACAGATGTTATAATTAACATAGTTGCGAAAAGTTGTAAGTAGACGAATTATTCGTCGCTGAAAGGGGTTAATTATTTTATTAGTAGTTTCGCGTGAATTTTCTCTTCCTTATTCTTCTACACTCCAATGATGGACTCCAGATTACTGTGACGAGTCCTGAACTAGGACGAAACAGATGTACAGTACTCCCAGCTGGAGCTCCAATGGTTTTCTAATCGATGTCAGTTCATGATGAAATCCTGAAACCAATCAAGTCCCTGAAAACCATCACGTGAATATCAATCTGATGGCTTCTGGGTTCCAGTAAGAGGTGGTAACCAGTGCGGACGAGTGCTCACTGGCTAGTGGCATCTGCTATTTGTTAAGCTATATCGTGAATTGGTAGAAGTCGGAATTCACGGACTGGCGAACCATTGGGTTGATGGGTCCCAGTGACTAGATGCTATACGAGCTCACCTTGTAACTTGGAGGCGTGCGTGTTTCTGAAGACTCGTAAGCTAGAACAGCGAAAACAGCTGAGTGGCAGTACTCCCAGCTGGTATTCCAATGGTTCTCCAGCCAATGTCAGCTCATGAAGAGACGCTGCAACCAATCAAATCCCTGCAAACCACCACTTGAAAACAAACTCTGTTAGGAGGGTTTCCATTGATGAGTTGTAATTATCTGAAACAGTTTCACCCTTATCGAACAGTCGTAATGACAACGGTCGCTCAGTAGTTCTCTCAGTAAAATCCTACCCCATCCCTCTCGTCGTCTCAGACGAAGACTTGACCTAAATGTGATCGGCATATCGTTGTTAGTGTATAAAGATACAGATGGGATCGGAAATGTAGGATTTCTCTTCCTTTATCCGAAATCAATCTCGGAATCTATTGTAGAAAACATGAAGATATGAATTTTAATACTAATGTTAGGGTAGTCAGTGCTTCTTCTCTCTGGTTCAGAGACTTGTTGTGCCTGTCATCGAAAGCGTTTCGAACAGGCTGGTTCAGAAATGTTTATTGACAGCTGTCGCCTCCGCTGGCTCCATACTCAATGTTGGATGGCTGAGAAAGGATAAGG